AGTCAGTAGAACAACTGGACCTCGTCTTTCCAACTCATATCATTTATAGGTAGAACGTTTTCTTCCTTTCTTTTCCTTTTCTCTTTATTTTGTTTTTTGTTTCGTTGTCTTTGAAACATTGTTTTTGTGTGATGTGCTGTTTCTATCTTCCTTACAAACTCTACTTAAAACCTTCTTCTTCGCTCTTTCACAATCTGTATATCTCGACCTTTTGTTACCACTTACGCCAGTAAATATGCTAGTATCTACTTTTCTAACACCTTCAAACTTTCTGTTCAATTTTGGCTTTGCTACCGATTTGCCAATATGTTGTTGTCAAAATTAACTGAAACTACCCATAATCTACGTAGAATTTTATTTATTGTTAATGTACAAACTGGATGTAATACTGTAGTGAAATGCTGAGAATTCCATTCTGTGTCACAAGTACTGTTTTGGAATAAAGCAAATTATTATTATTATTACTTAGTTCAAGAAATAAAGACAGACTGCTCTGTTTGTTTCACCTCTTCGATGTGTATTTACTAGTTTAACTGTTCGTGCGGAGCTAGTTACATTGTGTATACGATCAGGCTGGTTCATCGTCCTCGAATTTCTGAACACCTCCCATCTTCGTTTGGCAAAGATCCGAATAAAGCTGCTATACGCAACTGAATACTAGCTCATCTCATCGTCGAAACTGACTGGACATCGGGTTGACTCACTCTAACAAAGCTTCGAAAGTTATTTATTCATTGTATATCACCCAAACTCTTACATGGTCTACGAGTACGACTTCTACGCATACAGCAGAGGCAATCGGAATTCATCTGAACAAACCAAATCTCTGTGTGTGTCGCTTTGTACAGATCCTCTTTCTTTGCAACGGTCAACTACATAATATGCAATAAGTTTTTAAAAACTATTTTCTGCCTTCCCCTTGTAACCATCTTTTGACTTCGTTAATTTTTACAATTCTAGCTAATTCTATTAACTTGTTTGTTTGTATTTTAAGTAATTCTTCTGAGTCATCCTACTCTTCTTAGTCATCACTCCTATTTTACAAATTTCTTGATTATGTAATAACTTGTTGCTAACGCTTAAGAATCAACTTATCTTGAATTCTGTAATTAATTAATTCCCACCCGTCCTTTAACATTTGCATATCTTGTTACTAACATCTATCAATTAGTTGATGCTTTGATGACCTTTAATCTCTTCATTTCACCGACCCAATCCTCCCCTATGCCTAAAACTGATTAGCTAAAATAACCACTTGATTGATTGATAAAAACAATTTTCATGTAATAAACGACTATATATTAGTGTAGAGCCAGCCAGCCAGCGAGTCAGCCAACCGATGATGATGAAGAACTACTAATCGATGTAAAGCAATGCATGACTTCTTCGCTCGATCAATCTGTTGTTACTTTCCCAAAGAATATAAAACTGTATAGAAATGTGTAAATACCGGATTGATCACTAGAAAATACTATACAGTTGGCTTCCGTGTCTTGCCTTCTACTCTTGCACAATGAGTACCAACAAACCAGCTATTGCTTTCTAAGATACAAAAAAGTCTTCCAGACAGGTTAGCAAATGTTGTACTGTGAAAGTCTAACAATATAATGAAAACACCTTGTAGGAAACTTAATGCGCATCACCACAATCATTATTTGTCAGTGAGATGTTTCATCCTGTGTGTTCACTTTTATCAATGCTTTTGAACTTTTTGCGCACATCCCATCCCTCCCTAGACTAAGGTGCATGTTTTCGCCCATAGAGTAGATTCTCGTTAGAAAGTAAAATTTTGGTATTTTTGTTCCCAATTGGCGACATCATACAGAGAAGTAATCAATCGGTCAGTCAGTGGTAATGCTCTCCATATGAATATGTAGTCTGCAACATCACACTGAACCTCACCTAGTTAGTTTACTAGCTCGCTAGTGTTCTAGCCGGTCCAAAACCCAGATAAAGAGGGAGGGTTGGGCATAGGGTTAGCGACCCTACTCCACAAAATCAATCGAACTGCTACAGAAACTTCAACGCACAAGAGAAATACCAAAAATACAAGCATTATTCTGCGCTGGAATTCTAGAGCCGAAATGACACAGCGGGCTGGCTGGTGAAAGCCAGTCTTCGGGAAGCCAGTCAACCAACCAGCCAGCCAGCCAGCAGATGTGTCTTCTCTCGATGGAAGCAAGAATAAGAATGAGGACGCGAAATGCACGTACAATGTACGAGGCTGGTTGGGAAGGCTGCCCACCAAGCCAACGAAATGAGAAGATATGGTATAAAAGTGCTGGGAATCTGAGACAGCAGATGGAATGGATGTGGACTGTCAAAATTGTCAACTGGTTTGTCAGTAATTTACTCCGGTCTGGTCATTCACGCAGACGACAACCACGAGCACACTGAGGCAGTGAGTGTCTATCAGGAGGTTACCAGTGGCAGCCAGAGCCCTAATGCTGTGGGAACCAATCTCTCCTTCCAGGATAGTGACAACAAGAAACAACTCGATAAGCAGGAAGGAAGCCTACAGTTATCCAGTGCTAGGCATAGTGCTACAAACAACGCGGAACAACAGAAGAAGGAAGAAGTTTACAGACCACTTCAAGCAGTAATGGACAATATACCGAATGATGACACCAAAGTCCTTATGTGTGATATGGATGTCAAACTGGAAGCACATAATACACGAAGAGAACTCATCATCGGTCGACAGACTGTCGCTCGGCGAAATGAATGAGAACACAGAACTAATCGCCGACTTCTGCGCTTTCAATGATTTCTTGATCGGGGCTGCGTGTACAAATACAAAGACTTACACAAGGTAACATGGATTTCGCCTGACAGACATACCACAAACCAGATAGATTTCATCTCAATGCTGATCAAGAAATTGGAGACGCAGCTAGCCCGCTGGACACAATGTCAAGAAGGGGAGAGGATGTGGTCTCAGACCATCATCATCTATTTCAAAGAAGCTTCAAGGTGAGGCTGAAATCCCTAAATACCAATGGAAACAGGCCAATGTCATTCAAGTTCAATATTCAGAAACTGAAGGACAAAACCACAAGGGATGTCTTCACTACAGATCAGATGAGAGCAAAGTTGGAGACACTACGTGGCATCACTGAGGAGAACTGAGTGGAAGAACATTGGAACTAACTCTCTGAAAGCGATATTCAAGGAGACGTGTACAACCGTCCTAGGAAGGAGGAAGAGACAAGACAAGAAAAGGCACTGAAAAAGTCATGTCCCTTTTTTCTGAGATTCGAACCCGCGTCACCCAGTGAGTACTGTGCGTCGGTGGCACAGTGGTTAGGACTCTCGCCGACCATGCACATGGTCCGGGGTTCGATCCCCTGCCGGCGCACACCCGATATCTATGGTCGGCCTGAATTTGGGCTACCGATATCCATGCTGAAAATTCCACACTTGTACTGAAAATACGGTGTGGAATAAAGCTGTAAATCAAAATAAAAAAGAAAATAAATACTGAAGTAAGTCAGAGAAGTCACCACAGAGCTATTCGGACTCGCGATTTGCCTCCTGTAGGAATGACTGTATTGGATACTTTCATTGGACACCAGTAACTAGTTTGATGTGTCTAGTCCTTTCTTTGGTTCGGACTGAATTCTCTCAGTCAGTCAGGTTTCCAATGTGGCTCAGTGGTAACGTCTCTGACTGCACTAAGTGACGCTGGCTCAAATCTCAAGGAGTTCCTCCAAGGTTGCAGATACGCCTTCCTGACGTGTACCAAGTAACACAGAACATAGGTCGAGCAAAACTTCCTACGGTCGACTGCCTCCAACCATCTAATATCATAATCAAACCAATATGCACCGTGATGGCGAGCTACCTAGTGGCATGTTGGCCACATTGCAAACTTTGCTGACTGATAGAATTCAGCCTGCACTAACACCAAGGACTAGCCAGACACACATCACACTAGTTACCAACTACCAGTGTCCAATCAAAGGATATCGACCTCCCCCCCCCCCGGCCTGTGAAAGGTATAGCAGCATATCGTCAATACTTAGAACAAATAAGGGGTGCAAATTGACAAATGGTTAAAGCTTTTTAGCAAATCAGGAAAGTACACTTACTCGTTCAAATGTACGATAAAATTAATTTCTATAACCCGACATCTTGTGTATGTCTATCAATATACATAACGAATTCAAGTTAAGATAATTACTTAAGAAACTGCTCAAAAGTGCAACAATTGAACTTGCGAAACGCCATGTAGTAAACATACACACACACAAAGGTAGAGAGAAGAGAAAAACAAGAAATCTAGAAGAACTTCAGAGTTGAAATGTTGTAAGGCAGAGAGAATGGCATTATAAAAGAACCCGAGGGTTATATTGACGTTAGGCTTTGGTCGAGTGCTAAATAGGTGAGGAAGGAAAATCGATGGACGAGACGATTGACATAGTTAGGACACGTGTTATGTATGCCTGTCTAGCTATCGCCTTCCTCGACCAACGGGAAATGTTAGCTGACTGACATAGGATATATCAGGTTAGGAAAGAGGTAGCTAGTAGTGGTGGTAAAAACAAAACATGGCTTCATCATCAGTCAATGCAATCCACAACAGCCAGCCACGTAGGAGGGTGTAAACTTTTGACTGCCTGGTTGGGGTCCTCGGGACGGAAAAAAGGAATGAAGGATGGAGACAATTGATGATATCACTGGCTGCCTCAAAGTGATCGTTCTCGGTGATGGCTGGCGCTGGTTCAGATGCATCCACTCCTTGTGACTTATAATATCTAATAAAACTTCCATATAACTACTATTCTTTTCGCTTCATCTCTGTTTACTGTCTCTATTTTGCATTTCTTTTTACTTTCTTCTCTTGCTTTGTGTATGCTAAGTGAAGTGTGGCGACTCGAACTGACTGCTGCACATGTATGCAAAGTTCTACGTTGAAACTAGTCAGTCCGTCATTCAGATATTATACGAAGATGTGCGTATATGATTATAAAATTGAACAACACACACACAGACACTAATTTCGTCTAATCACAACTTTTATTTTTTTTAATCCTAAAATACAATTGACTGATTTAAAGAAAAGAAACAAAAATGTACAAATTTAATCGCTAAAAAGGTCTTCTAATCATACACTTAGTCATCTCAGTCAATATCCATCAATTCATTAAATCAACTTCGATCCTCCAAAGCACGTGACAATTCTTCATAGGCTTCAACAGCAATCTGAGCTTCTGCTTTATCAAGTTCTGTAGTAGCACTGGATAATTCAGATTGTGCTTTTGACATTCCTTCTTTTGCAGCTTGAATATCCAGTTGATCAAGGGCAGCGGCTTCTTCAGCAAGAACTTGAATAGATGAATCATTGTTTACGGTTACAATGCCACTACTGACTAGAAATGAACAACAAAAGAGAGAGAAATTGAGAAGACTCAATATTAATTAAGTTTATTATAAAATGCTATTGTGCAAAAGCTTTATATATATATAGGTCAAAGGAAGAATTTAGAATAGAGTATTTTAGCTCCTGTAACATCTGTGTCAATACCGGACCTTACTTCTTTTTCCCTTGATGCAGTGAAAACAGTCTAGTGATATTGTAACAGCAGAAGGCAAGAAAGACACCGAGGCTAAGGTATGCTTTCAACTGATCTAACAGCTATCTATACAAATGAAATAGAATGTTCAAATATACACATATATAGTATATCACTTTGTTGCTAATGCAGTATTGAACTGTGGGAATGGTAGTATATATGAGAATAATTTTCCGTTGGGACATATTGTCTGTACTACACTACAATCGTCTCACCCCCCATCAAATACTTTAGACTGAAGGTGTTCCCACCTTCTTGGTGCTGGCATCTTTGTTTGCTTGTCTAGCTGTATCTATTTCCGGAGCTCACTGACGTTCACCCGCTTCTCCTAGTTTGCATTTCTCTTAGTATATACGTGACACCGTCTCGCGGTGACCGTGTATACCCCTTCCCACTTTGAAAGCAGTTTACGTGACCCTGGCTGGCGTGTATTCATCGGCGTTTCGCCTAACACAATCATATGCTGCCTTCGCCCGACTTCTCCTCTCAGCAGCGTTCCAAGTAAAAGCCTCTTCACTAATGGATTTTGAACGCCATTCGACTCCGAAACACCTTGGAAGTCCTGCGAGAAGATCCGTATGTCTCCTTCTTCGAAAACTGCAGGGGATAGGCTTTTCATTTGTCGGTAGGCTGCGACACCAAGTGTAACAGAAGAAGGCAAGACATGGAAGCCAAGGTATATATTCAAGTGATCAAACCGCTATTTATATACATATGTACAGTTGTATATTCTTTAGCCAATCACTGAGCCAGCGTGTCATTTTGGTTTACATTAAAAGACATCAATTAGAATGTTCCAGTATACATATATAGTAGAGTATTCTGTTTCTAATACAGTATTGAACTGTGGGAATAGTATATGTGAGAATAATATTCCGTTGGGACACATTGTTTGTGTCATACCAACACAAGTGCATGTGTAACAGTGTTTAAGCATCTAAAAGAGAATTGAACATATTATCAATGAATTAACGATATGGATGAAACATGGTGCACACATGCTTAAAGAACAGTTGTCGGTTAGCATTTAATCGTTGTCATCCAGCGATAAAATTCATACTCGAAATGGAGAATGAGTCTAGTATTCATTTCCTCGAGGTGAACTCATTCAAAGAGGACATCAATGGAACCCTGAAGAGATCGATTTATTGAGAGTTCTCACGGAATCGTCAAATGACAAATTTCTACAGCTGGGTATCCATTAGGTCGAAAACAAAGCCTGATCCGGTCGCTTGCCACACGTATTCGGCGCATATGTAGTCCTGATACTGTAGAGGATGAGCTAAATCTTTTAAGAAATTCTAATAAAAAACGGATTTCCACTACGTTTTGTAGACAAGAATTTACAGTCAAATCCTATGAAATGTGACTTACCATCCGTACCTTAGAAAATACTGTACGTGAGCTTAGAATTCAAAGGTAACTTAGCTTCCGATATCATCATCAAAAGAAGGATCTCACAGTCCCCGACAAGAACATTCCCTGCTGCATCTTTGAGAATAGTCTTTGCCAGTTGACCATTACTATTCAAGAAGGACACAATCCCACAGTTGACCGACTTTATGTGCGTTTATCAATTCACCTGCTCGTGTGGAGCTAGGTATATCGGTCGTTCGACTCGAGTTTTGTTCAAGACGGTGCAAGAACACTATCCTGCATGTTAGTTACGAAGAGGTGGAAGTAGAGCAATAAGAAGCGCGATCATTGAACATCTGGTCGATAATTATCACCTAATGATATCTACAACCTGCGCCTTTAAAGTCATCTACACGGCGAAAAGTAATTTGTCCAAATCACTAAGTTTCCGACTCATCTGTATTGCTGAAGAAGCTTTGGCCATCGAAACAGAAAAGTCCAATCTCTGCATACAGAAAAAGTCCGTTCAACCCTTCCAACTTTTGTGGCATTAATCTCTCTATGCCAAAGTATGGTAATCCTTAATCATATTTTGTCTATACCAATTTTTTCGTTTATTACGTCAAGTGTTCCTATTAATATTCTCACTTTGAACTGTTCCCCGTATTATTTCCCTCCTTCCACTTGTCATTCTAAATCAATTCTGTTTTGCAACGTTAAATTCTATGTTATCACATTTCAGACAGAATGTTACGTAACGTTTTTATTTTATTCAATTTGTCCACTAATCCTATAACTGCACACCCCTTTCGAGTTCTATACATCCTATAAATTATTCTATATATGACATTACTTGTTTTGCTACTTGACATTTAACTATGATTATAATCCCAAATATTTTAATTGCATTTCATACTAATACTATTATTATTTCATGTATTCACACCTTTGATCCAATTCCCTCCCTCACCGGATATAAGTTTTTAAAAAACCATATATATGTATACGATGATAATAAATTCGTTGTTGAAAAGAGTCTCTTCGCTGACTGAATCACTTTTATTTATCTTCTGTATGTTACAATGGGAATTTTCCATGAAGCAATAAAAATAATCTAGTGATATGACCACATAAGTGAGGCGGCCATCACACTGTCTTTTTCCTAATTCATTTGAGTACAAACTCAATAGCCAGATATGTGCCACAGACAGACGACGGAAATAGTAACGAGAGAGTCAGAAGCAGATGATCCCCTTAAAGAACTCCACACCGGGAGCTTAATTTGAATTTTGAGCCACAACGCAGCAAAGTCACATCCTGAGTCTTAACTTATGTGGTTGCTAGTGGACAATGTTGTCTGGAAGGACGACCAAAGCTTTGCAATTAAAAAACCATCAACCAGCTCCTCAGAGAACACAACTTATTTCAATATCATCCACCTGAACTAAACATCTGCATTATTTCAGTATATGGGCATGCCACTACTTCCCGTATGATGCCGACACTGTCGAGTCGCCTTTCTTCTAGAAATACTTGGGACAGGAAGACCATTAGTGTTGTGCGACGACAAAGTTCACGGCACAACCACACTTGAGGTTAGTAACACACACTTTTCAACAACTTTTAATAACTCATTATGCACCCTAACAAGAAACCAAAGAAATCCAACTCCTCTTAACTAGAAGGAAGAATTAAGAAATAACTTCATTATAAAAGTCTGTCTGCCTGTTTTCGACATAGAACTCTGCACCAATGTGCGACAGTTCAAGTTGCCATACTCGATGTAGCACGCAAAGTAAGAGAAGAAAGTAGGAGAAATGCATAGTAGAGACAGTAAACAGGGATGTGAGACAAAGGAATAGTAATAAGGAAGAACAATATAGTTTCATTGGAAATTATAAGTAACAAGGAGTGGATGCATCCGCACCACTGAGAATGATTTTGAGCCATATCACCAATTGTTGCAAACCAATGGTTTTTACCGTCCCGAGGACCCAAACCAGGAAGTCTGCACCTTCCTACGTGACTGGCTGGTTAGCTGGCTTAAATTAACTGTTGTGTATTTCATTCACTGATGATGAAGCCATGTTTTGGTTTGACCACTGCTAGCTGACCCTATGTCAGCTAACATTGCCCGTCGAGGAAGGCGATGGCTAGACATGCGTAACACATGTCCTAACCATCTCAGTCGATGTAACTTCACAGCCTCGTCGACTGATTTCCCCTCCTTACCTAGCACTCGACCGACACCTAACCTCAATATCGCTCACCCTATTATACCACTTCACACAGGAGATAGAACGCAGACACCTATGATGAAAGACAGCTAGGCAGCAAGGCTTTTCATGTCTTCCACTCTCAATGGCCAGGTCTCACAGCCATAAAGGAGGATGGAGCGGACACACGCCCTTTGGTCGACAGCCAGTCGAATATCACGTCTACGCCAGCGACGAAGTAAGCGATCAACCCACTGGCACTGGCTGACGCAACTTCCCAAATAAGTGAAGTGGTCAACGTGCTCTACCACTTCACTTCCTATTTCTAAACTAGGTGTCAGTGTAGTCCAGTCCTGTAACATCATCTTACGTTCGGCGGGAGCGAATCGCATGCCAAACATTCGTAGATTGCAGCTCAATGTGTTCAGAAGACTCTGCATTTTGTCAGCGTCCTCGCGTAGGACTATATTATCCGCATATTATAAGTCAACGAGATTATTCCCTGGTAGCAAGTCAATCACTGAGTCTCTGAAGTGAGTTAGTGTTAAGTCCATTAGTACGATATCTATGATGAAATTGAATAGAAATGGGGATAGTGGGCATCCTTGACGGACACCACTTCAGATGACAACTCTCCGTAAGCCCTCACCTGGCTGCATGAGTACGAGTAGAGTGCCTTAATCAGTGCAATGTATTTTCTCGGCATTCCCTTTACAGCCAAGCATCGCCAGAGAACCCCTCGATCGACAGAATCGAATGCCGCCTTTAGGTCAAGAAATATAACGATTGTTGGAGGCCGGTAAGTATGCGTATGTCCCGTTACAGAATCTGTCGAACGGTGAAGATATGATCAATACATCCTCTTCCTGGTCTAAAGCCTACTGCTTCTCTCGTGTTTGTTTCTCCCGAGCACCACTTAGTCTACGCAATGTTATTGAGCCTAGGACTTTAGATACTATATTAGTCAAGCTAATCCCTCTGTGATTATCACAAGAGGACTTGTCTCCCTTCTTGTACATGGGGATAATCAGTGACTTACACCAATCCGACGGGACTTCCTCTGATTCCCAGACGCTGCCTAGTACCTAAGTTAACGCAGAGAGTAAACTTTCTCCACCGTACTTAAATACCTCTGGAGTCATTCTATCAGGTCCTGCTGCTTTGCCTCGTTTCAGACTAGTGACAGCTTTAGTGACTTCAGTTAGGGACGGAGGACCTGTGTCTATATCCCATTAAGAGTGGTGTTGGATGTTCGGCAGGTTGATCGTGGCTGTAGGCCAATTAAACTGCTCCTCAAAGTGTTCTTTCCGGCGTTCCAGTCGTCTATCCTGGGAGCTAATTATGGTACCATTTTTCTCCGAGATTGTTTCACTTATCATTCGCCTTTCACCACCTGTTTCCCTGATAAGCCTAAATAGTTGTCTGGTGTTACCAATCGCCGATGCCTTTTCCATCTCTTTCGTTCTTGTCGCCCACCACTGTTCACGGTCGTTGCGAAGACTACTTGTTAGTTTTCGTTTGAGTAGCTTTCGCTCCTCATCATAATCGGAGCTCGCCGGAATCAGTCTCCTTGCGTCAGTCAGTCCGGATGAGGAGGTAGAGATCCAATGGCTCTCACTAACTTTTGGTTTAAGGTTATTACCAGCTGTTACAGCTGTGTCTACAGATAACTGTATTTTGTGCCAGGCTACATCAGGGAAAGTCCTGCTGTCGACCTCAGATACACGTTTCGCTATTTCTTCCTTAAATAGGGACCCAGTGTCTCGATCTAGTTGGGGACGTAACTGTTTCGCTGCCAGCAATTTCTTATGTCCATTTAATCGTAAGCATAAACGTGCGCGAACCAGAGCGTGATCGGAGTCTACGAACGTGTTCCAAAAGGAGCGGCAGTCTTCTACTGATCCTCGCCAACGATACCCTATCGCTATGTGGTCTATCTGAGTCCAGCGTTGAATTGGTGATGGAGGTCGCCAGGTTACACAATGTCTCTCATTGTGCCTAAAGTTAGTGCTGACTAGAAACAGATGATTATCTGAGCAGAACTGTAGAAGACGATCACCGTTGTCGGTTCGTCGGCAGGGAACTCCATACGTACCACCTACATACTTCTCAGTCTGGCTTAACTTCCCTACTTGGGCATTGAAGTCGCCTGCTAAAACAACTATAACTGAACGGTTTACCTTTTGCAGAAAATTAGACAGCTTCAGGTAGAAATCACCCTTTAGCTCATCTGAACTGCAGTCTGTTGGGGCGTAAGTGGAGACTACGAAAAGGCAACGACGGGTAGCGCCGTCCTTCCTTCTTTTAACGGACCCATTCAGACGGACCGCACACATACGACTATCTACTGGGATCCAGTCAAGAAGTGATTTTTCCGCCCTAACACTCAGTGCTATCCCTACACCTGCGAGTCCTCGCGAACTAGTTGAGGGGTCTCCTGACACTCTTAAAGTGAATTTTGCAGATTCACCTTGTTGACCGGGTATGGTTAAGTGAATAATCCGACTCGGGTCTTGTATGCGTGTCTCCGAAACACAACATACATCCATGGCTCGAGATGCCAGAGTTCTTGCTAGTGATGCCTGTTGTCCTATTTGGCAGAGGGTCCTGACGTTAAATGCTCCTATATGGAGTTGGCGACGTGGCTTTAAAAGGCTATCTGGGGTTATTTGTGGTCAGAGAGTGAAGATGACTCACTAGCCTGAAGAATAGTACTAACTGTAGTAAGGGAATAAGATGACGGTGATGTGGGTAGAGGAGAATGATGCTCAGGGAGACTTCGTGTGCTCTTGGAAGTGTGTGGGCGGTTGCTACTTCTCGGTTGCCCACACCGTGGAAGTTGGTTGAGTCTTCGGGTACCTGAAACAGAGAAAGGGTTAGTGTTGCGTGACCACAAAGCCCAGGGGACAACTGATTGAGGCCAACCAGTCACACACGGCATTTATGAACTGGTTTCTGGGATTGGTTCCGTATTAGTAAACTTACCACCGGTTACGGACCACCGTAGAGTAAGTCGGGATGTACAATTTTTGGGGTCAATTTTTTCTAACCCCCTCTCTCCAGAGTGGAGAGACAGCATAGCTGGCATGCTGAGCATCTGAGGGAAACACCTCACTGCTGTTACATCCCTGTTCCCCAGCAATACGACTTGGTCCACAGGTCCCCGGTATAGTGTAAAAAAATTCTTACACTATGATGGTGACTTCTTTTAGTCTAATCGCTATCCTAACAACCTTCCTGACATGGTAGGACCTGCAGGAACATTGGTTCCAGTCAGTGTAGCTTATTGGGTCATTGCGGTGTGCAAGCCCGGTTACCACGTCAACGTAGCAGCTATCGGTCAAGTCATTGTAAAAGTAAAACACATGTCAATGTCCACAGGAACAAGACAACACTATGAAACTTTACTGCCCCTACATCACCAGGGAAAAAGCGGAAGAAGAAATATCAAACATTACTGAGACTCTCAAGAAAAATCACTATCCAAAGTAATTCACTAACAAAATCAATACCGACATTATATATGATTGAAAACGTATTTCGAAGACATGGGCTTCAACTGTTGTCATTCCATATAGATCAGAAAAGTCAGACGATAGATATCAGAAGAGTACTCAATAAGCACAACCTTAGAGTTTCCTTCGAAACATCAGAAATGTACACTGCAAAGCAACCGTGTTCATGTAAAAGACCAAATCTCTAAGGATTCTCTATCTGTCTACAAAATAAAGTATTCGGAATGTGATGGGATAATATACATCGGACAAACATCGCTAGAGAGAAATCAAGGTAATCAGAAGAAATGAACACCGTAGAGCATCTGTTCGACCACCGAGAAGTTAATCAAGTTAAACTTAAAAAAGCTTAAAATAGGCACCATCATCATCATGTGATCATCGTTGCCCTACAGGTCATGCGATTCACTATTAAGCAAAATAATCTGAGCAAAAAATATAAAACAACCACACGACCTGTAAAGGGACACTGGGCCTTTCACACGAAAAAGACACCACGCACGGTAGGCTGGTGTGAAAAAATGTATATGAATGTGAATGTTAAACATACCAAAATATTTCTTAATATTCCCATCGTTCTCGTATACTGCAACAACACCAGGTTTAAGACAACCCACTGTAGGGACGTGTTCTGGTAAAACACCAAATCGACCAGTTAAAGTTGGTACATCAACTTGTTTTACGACTACATTGTTATAAAATGCCTGACCGGATGAGGCAAATGTCAGCTTTAATTCTGTTAAGCGTTTTGTCGATGTTTGGACATTACGTAGTTGGTTTAAAATTGGAAGGGTTGCGATCCTTTTGAATAACTGAAAGAGGAGATTAACATGAAGAACACGTTATTTCTTTTGTCATTAAGTCAACTAGATTGATTCCTAATTCTCATTGAAATAAGCAAATAGATAAATTTCAACAAGTACACTAATATGAACTCAGTTTAAAGACAAACCATTAAAAATTGTTAGCACGAAACATCTGAAATTAAAAAATATTTCCGAAATACAGTTCAGCATAAGAACGGACATTTTGTCCCGCGGAGTCTGCAGAATAATGAGAATATATTTAAATACCTCTGACACACAAAGAAAGAAATGCAATAGGGTTTAAAGAGAGCATCTTATGAACTTTTAAGAGAATGTTGTCAATGGTCATAGGATACACTAAACTACACAATTGTGACTGCCAACTGCATTCTGCCTTATTTTGACACCATTTGTCTTCAGCAATTAAAGCACGAACTGTTCAGACCTAGAATGCATCCTGATTGACTACTTTCAACGTTGAACTTTGCAGAGATGTGCATCAGCAGTTTAAGATGCCACACTTCACTTAGCCCACAAAAGAGAAGAAAGTAAAAACAGATTCAAAAGAGACAACGAACAGAGATATGAGGCAAAAAGAATAGTAATATCGAGGAACAATATGGTTTCATTGGATATTATCAGCCACAAGGAGCGGATACATCTGCACCAGCCAGCCATCACCGAAAACGACCATTTTGAAACAGCCATATTACCGATTGTCTCTAGCCTTCATTGGTTCTCACCACCATCTCGAGGACCTCAACCAGGCAGGCAATCAGGAAGTGTACATCTTCCTAAGTGGCTGGTTGGCTTAAGCTAACTGTTGTGGATTTCGCTGACTGATGAAGCCATGTTTCTGCACTGGCTAGCTCTTTCTCAACCAGATCTATTCTATGTCAGTCAGCTAACACTGCCCATTTCCGAGGAAGGCGATGGCTAGTGATGCATGCGTAACACATGTTTTAACCATGTCTCAATCAATGTAACTGCTTCACAACCTCGTCTATTGATTTCCCTCCTTACCTCAACATTGCTCACCCTATTATACCACCAACTGACACGGGAGATAGAATGCAGACACCACCTGTGATCGAAGACAGCTAGCCAGCAGGCCTTTTCATGTCCTTCACTTCCAATGGCCAGGTCTCACACCCAGACATAAAGAAGGACAGAACGGACTTCTGAGCAGTACACAGGCCCTTTGGTCGACACCCAGCCAGTACCAGCCAGATATCACGTCTACTAAGCCCGAGACGGAGTAAAGGGGCATATGCAAAACGAGCCTTCTGCATCCGTGCTGGGATTTCGTCAGCGATCAGCCCGTTGGGGCTGAATACATCCACCATACACTGAGGTCAGCAGAGCCATTACTGTGACTAATCTGCACCATTAAGTTTAGAGCTTATTATACTAGTAATGTTCTTCAGCAGACAGTTTATAGTTCACAAACTCTGGATACATCTTGTAACATATATCTCACGTTATAATGTAACACGTAACAGCCAGAATTAAACCATATAGTATCTAAACACTAACTAGAATGTAGCTAAAGAATCTCTCTGATGCTACACACGTTTACACACTAATTATATGCAAATTTTCTATAAATTATCTGACGGAAGCTTTATTCATAAAAAGTGGAAATTAATATTACGAAACACATCATCGAAAAGAACAGCCAGTAGTCTTAGATACAACTTTGAAACTAAGAATCCACTCTTTTAGATAAATTCTGCTTCCCGTTGATTCGTCAAGCACCACACTAGATTTTTGTCTCATCTGAATAAGCTTTAATTGGCTCATTTTAATTTGAATATCATTTGTTTCTTCTACTGCAGCATGAAACTATTAGTTCGAGTAACATAGTGAGATAAATGATAGGATTGGTACATGAAGAGGATGGAAAAACTATCGCAGAAGATCCCAAATTTTGATTGAACACTAGTTACTAGTGTCCAATAAAGTACCCACTAGTCCTGTAGGAAGTCAGCTGCGACCCCGAATAGCTCAGTGGTAACGTCTTTGACTGCAGCACTGCGTGACGCGGGTTAGAATCTCAGAAGTGACGTGAGTCATTTCAAGGTTGCAGATACGCCTCGCTAACGAGCACCAACCAGACGAAACCTAAGTCCAAGGCTTCCAGTTGATCGCCCCAAACAACCTAATACCATCAGGTTCCAAATTATTGGAGGAATAATGGCTGCAAGGAAAGCACTGTGAAACAATATGTGAGGTGTGATGCTTATCAAAATATACCAGCGCTCAAAGAAGTGTGTTATTAAGTGACCCAATCTTGATAGACCTCATCTCTTTGACTATTAAACCACATACGGATTGCATCTATCGTTGTGGTAGCTATTGTCTGTTTCGGATATTAGTTTTATTTATTGGTCACTCACAGACAGAGATGGCCTGCCACCAAAACGTGACTGCCTGACATCTCTTTGTCGAAATCAGGGACGACACTGAATTGTTGATTACTCCTAATTCACAAAAATCAAAACTATTAAAACCAACTAGGATACTTCTAATTAGTTTCAGTCTAAAAGACGAGAAAGCTTCTTACGCTGGCACGCAAGAGTTGGAAGATGTAGTAATAGTATGTTATTCAACTAAAAATGCCTACAGAGCTTCGAACGCAGTGGGCGTGTTAAAAAGAGGACCATTGTGGTACGGCGTTATATGCAATATGACACATAAACCTCTCAGATTGTGAGACACCTATATCAACCATCAAATTAACGACACATCTTCTATTTACTGTCAAACTAGGATTCACAGGAGAAGATAACACACAAAAGATGGGGAAGAAGGGAACCATCCTCACCATTTGACGCGTAACGAAAGAGTTGAAATGAGCGGACTGAACATTAAAAACAAATAGATTCAGATTTCAGATTCAGATTTATTGGTTGAGAATAGAAGGCTTGGAGCCTATGTTAATCCTTTTCTAGTAAATTTCTGTGGTTGTCCAAACCCTTATTGAACGAATCAGTTGAGGTTGCAGACACCACTTCCAGTGTCCTAATTTTTGATTTACAGCTTGATTCCACACCGTATTTTCAGTACAAGTGTGGAATTTTCAGCATGGATATCGGTAGCCCAAATTCAGGCCAACCATAGATATCGGGTGTGCGCCGGCAGGGGATCGAACCCCGGACCATATGCATGGTCGGCGAGAGTCCTAACCACTGTGCCACCTAATTAAAGTGCTGGTGAGACTGATAGGCCTGTAATTTGAAGGTCTTTGTCTTGATCCTCCTTTGTGGGTGAAGGTTACTATGGTGTCTTTCCAGTCACACGGTAACACTCCATTTTGGAGAGAAAGCTTGAAGATCGTAGTCAAAGGGCCGGCTATGTGGGCTGATAGCTCCTTGAGAAGCCTTGGATGAAGATTATCAGGACCCATTGATTTCCCTGCATCTAGTTTCCTTAGGCAGTTGAGCACGATGCCTTGGTCGATGTCAACGGAATCTATCCCATGTTCTTCTGATGCAGCCAGAGCTGATCCTATAGGCAGTGATGACTTCTGAGTGAAGACTTGGGAGAAGTAGTTGGCCATTGCTTCTACTTTTTCTTGATCTTCTTCGATTGTATCATTGTCAATAGTCAGGTTTGGGACACCATTAGATGTTTTATTCCTGAAGTTCATGTACGAGAAAATTTTCTTAGGTTGTGCCTTTGCATTTTGAGCCAGGTGTGCTTCGAATTTCATACTTGATTGGCGGATTTGTGCAATAGCTTCATTTCTAGCAATGTTATATAATTGCCTGGTCTCAGAAGTCTCAAGTATGGCAAACAAGTTCGAACATTTGTGTTTACGTCTGAGTAACTTACGAATCTCTCGGTTTATCCAAGGGGGGCAAAGTTTCCGACCCTTTGGGACAGACCCAGGGATGAAAGGTTCAGTTACTTGGGCGTACAGTTGTTTAAATTGGTTCCATGAGGCTTCTACTTGAGACTCTGGGTTGATGTACCAGTTTACTGAGTTGGCTGCTGGGACAATTGCATTTATATCAGCTTTCCAAACGTTTGGTCGAGATGGGGTTTTGGCCCTTGCTGTGAGCTTGAAAGTAAGCACAGCATGGTCACTTCTTCCTAAAGGAGGAAGATGTTGTATGAGATCCACGTCCTCACCATGGGAGAACACTAGGTCCAGAGTTGAGGAAGAGTGCTGTGAGTCATAGAGCGTGGGCTTAATGATATGTTAGACTAGGGCTAACGATATACTAGATTCCAGCAGTTTATGATCAAAGGAGTTGACTGAAGATGGAGTTGTTAGGCTCGTCCAGTCAACTGTTGGGACGTTAAAGTCGCCAACTACGAGACTTCAACATTTTGAGGTCCAGGAGCCTAGCTTCTCTATCAGGAAGTCATCTGCACTGCAGTCAGGACTGCGGTACATAGCAATGAGGTCAATGTCTTGGCCTATGCATTTAAGTCTGCAGCGTAGAAGTTCGCACGACTCACTTTCGTGAGCGAGTGCTTCGATACTACGCACGGTTGAGCATTTCTTGAGGTAGATGACTACGCCACCTCCTTTGCGGTTTAGTCGGTCCACCCTATGCACTTCGAAGTTTGGCAGGTTAACTTCGTTGTCAGTGACATCGGGTGTGAGCCATGTCTCTGTGATAATAATTACATCCGGATTTTCGGAGTCTATCATGTTAACCAGCTCAGTCCGTTTATTTAACAGGCTGCGGGCGTTTGTGTAGCAAACTGTCAACTCAGTTTGGTGCTTCCCTGGCCTACCCACAGAGGTTTCGGGATCACTAAACTGCGAACTTGGACAACCCGAAAACCCTTAATCTTAAGGTTATTTTCGCCGTTTCGGCGTCGTTCGCTTAATTCTAGGGCCACAGACTGTCTTTTGACACGGTCTGCTAGGCTTAAGTCGGCGCGGACATTTATGCCTGATCGTTTAAGAATATGAGAGTTGCTTAGAATAGCATCCCTCTCTTCTTTAGAGTTTAGTACTACTTTGAGGAGATGTACAGGCTGACTTACTGTAGGGGGAGGCTTTTGGCCTATTCTATATACGCTATGTATAGTAATGCCTGATACTGTTTGTGGCAGTAGCTTGTCTAAAAGGGGCTTAGCCAAGTTAACGTCATGCTCAAATCTAGTCTTGGGATCGAGGGCCAGTGACTCTTCCATTTTGTGGAGAATGAGCGAGCTGCCAGAGAGATCAGGTTTGCTTGCCGTGGCTTTCTTGCTCTGCGGCGTAAATGTCTTTCTGTCCTTCGTGGGAAGTGCGGTCAATGTATTGTCCTTATCTCGCTTTTTGCGAGAGACTTCGTTACGCCATTCATTGGTGTTCTCCTCGTTAATCGTAGTAGGATTTATCTGCCTACTACTAACTGGTGTGGATAAGGCTTGATCCACTAGCCGCTGGGCAACTTGAGCTGCAGGTTTTCGACCCCTTGTACGCCTCTTCTTTGTGGCAGTCTTTCCATTACTGTCACTGGAGGGCTTATCCAGTATCGTGGGGCAGACTGGGTGTCTGGAATGTGGTGAGTGCTCTTCTGTGCTGAAGGCCACTCACTTAT